TTAGCTTGCAGCCGGTAGGGAAACCCTGTTCTGGAAAGGCAGCCTCATTTCATTATTAATCTAAAACTCTAGAGTTCCCAAGGTTCATCTTTTGAATATGGATATAAGGTGGGAGAGTTTCCATTTTAAAAGGTCAAACGATCTCTTTAACAGCAGTTTGGAGGCTTTTTATTGCACTCTGAGAGCATGTAAGTTAACACTAGTCGTAGGTGCTAAAAGGAATTTTGACAGGTCGCTTTGTTTCTCCCCCCTCCCATCCCCACCCCAAAGAGTTTGAACTTTTCTCTTTAACCATAAAAGCTAAATGCTGGAGAAAGTTCCTTCCTAGGGAAGATGTGTGACAGCCCAGTTTCCTCTGTGCCTCTGCACATAGAGTGTTCTTGTCTTTCTGTATGGCAGCTGGATATGAGAAATGGGGGACATACTATTTGGGGTGAATCATGTCACTTAAAAACAGACACACCCTCAAAAGAATGATATCTGAACACATGTGTCTCTTAAAAGATTTTTTAAAAGAAACTTATTATTTCCAGCCAAATCAGAGAAAGCCCCAGACAGGGCAAGGGCACCCTCCCTTTTGTCCTGTTGGCCTGGCCCTAGTAGCAGTGTGCAGCCTTGCTGGGGGGCTGTAATTGCAGCCTGGGGCCCCTCTGGAGGAGGCTAGGAGGTGCTGAGCCTAAACAGCCTTACTTTTCCCAAGACGGTACAGCCAAGGCTCTCTGTTGCCTCACATCTCTTGTAAATTAGTAATCGGAAAGCAAATAAATCATTCTTTTCATAAAAGAAAATATATTCTACCTCAGGAGAAGCCGAGGTGAGGTATAAACAGACATGGTATTTGAACTTCCTTGACTATGAGAGGATATGCCCTCATGGAACCTGCTTTAATGGGCATGAGTCTGTGCCCGCCCAGAGGGACACATCTTCCCTGACCCTTCTTTGCTGAATTCTTGCCTTTGGGATTTGGGAGAAAAGTTTTGCCTTTAAACTACCACTTTCAGTATTTTAAGATTCTTGGTTTTCCTGTTGTTGATGCCAGGGAGCAAAAATAGTCCCCAAGAAATCACAAAGCATATTATTTTAGAAATGGGTCAAGGGTCTACCTGTCTCTTCATGGCTGCAATAATTGCTATGTGTCTGAGGCCACTTTGGAGCCCAGATCTGATTGAACCAATTTCCACAAAATGTTTCTGCCCTGAAAACTTCGTCAGTGTAAACTTTTTGATGGAGACTCAAATTGCATGAAAGTCACTGAAGTCTATTAGTTATTATGTCCACTTTAGCCAGTACCTTGAGTGGAAAAAACACTGCAGGCTGAATTTTCAGCCCTGTGCAATGCTCTTGTTACATGAAGCATGACACGATGAGAGAGTGTAAGTTAGAAAGCTCCCTTTTTCAACATTTAAAAGGGACTATGCCAGAGGAAACCCGCAACTTAAAATGCCAAGAAACTTCTATCTGTAGGTTTAAAAGAAAACATGAGCTTTTGTGGTTTCGATTCGCAGCATTTCCAGAAACGAGTAGGCTTCTACAGGAGCATTTGAAATAGTTGATGGTCAGGATGGCCGGAGCTTAATTTGAACTTGAACTCAAATGACTTGGAACTTCTTCCAGTGATTCTACAGGAAGCAGGCTATGAATGCCTGTGGCACCCACTTATTTCTCATTTGGCCCTGATGAGCCCTGGTCATGCAGCCCTGCTGAGACCACTGCAAGGCCTCATCCTTCAGGGAGAAAGGGCTACTGTATTTTCTCAATCAACCCCTCAATAAACAAACATTTACCAAGCGCCTCTGATGTACCAGCGCCAGCAAAGGAAACAAAGGAATAAGCACGCAGCGTCACTGACCCTCAGTGTAGGAGGTAGGGGCACATGCAGAAAAAGCCAATGCTCCCAAGCAGTGTAGGAGAAAGGCCAGAGAGAGGGGCAGGGGACCAGGCCAGGTTTTCTAGATGTGTAAGGACTCAAGCTGAATGTGAGAGGTGGATAAGATTCAGTGAGGCAAGGAGGAGGGACTAGTTAGTTCTAAAGGGGAAAAACAAAGGTATGGAAGTAGGAAAATACAAGGTGTCTTAAGGGGGCATGCGTAGGTAGTAGAGGAGCTTTCAAGGGGAGGAACAGCGGGAGATGAGGTCGGAAAGGGTCTGCTGGGGAAGGCCTAGGACAATATGATCTGGAAAAGAGAAGGTTATGGTCAGGTCTTCTTAACCAGAAGAGTATAAGGAGGCTCTTCATACCTTCTCCATGCGTCTTGGGCATACAGGAGCTTCTCAGTAGAGGCATGAGACCTTTATGATGGAACAGTTTCTTTTTTTAATTTATTTTATTGAAGTATAGTTGATTTACAATGTTGTGTTAATTTCTGCTGTACAGCAAAGTGATTCGGTTATGCATATGTATGCATTCTTTTTCATATTCTTTCCTATTATGGTTTATCACAGGATATTGAATAGAGTTCCCTGTGCTATGCAGTAAGACTGTTGTTTATCCATTCTATACGTAATACTTTGCATCTGCTAATCTCAGACTCCCAATCCATCCCTCCCCCACCCCACGATGGAACAGTTTTGCACGCTAGAGTACAATACCCGAGAACAAAGAGTGGGGTTCACGTGCCAAGGATGAAGGTGAAACTGAGGTCAAGGGGAGAGCCGGCAATGGCTGACTGGAGGCCCTTCCCACTCCCTTTGAGCCCATGTGTGTTGTCTGCTAGAGCCGTAGGGAAGTCTCTGGTCAGCTTAGGGCTGATGGTGTGGGATTTGGAGAACCTTGTCCTGGGTAAAGCTTGAGGAGGTCAGAGCTTACTCCTCTCAGGAGACAGCTCCTGCCTGCCTCTCTACTCCTCCTTCAGAGCCGACACTGTTGAGGCTTTGACTATACCCACCCACCTCTGTTGACTGTTCAGTTCAATCCAAGCTGGTTTCTCTCTGTTCCAAATTTGTTCTTGCTCAGTTCGTCTGGGCTTTTCCATGTTGCCAGATCCAGCAGGCACTTTGAGACGCACCCACCTTTTCATCAATATTCCACGTAGTTGACAGCTTCCTGTGTCTTGACTCCTTCCATCATTTAGCTTTCATGCTATTATTCTGGCCGTTCCTCTGTCTGACCTCCTAGTACAGTTCATCAGGACATTTCTCATTCCATACTGGATGGATGGTAATTTCATCCATCCCAATAGCAGCAGATGGTCTCTGTGATACACAATCACCTGCAGTGTAGGTGTGTGTGCCTACATACAGTTCCTGCTTGGCTGTCTGAAAGACATCTTGAACTTAATGTATCCAAACCTGCACTCTTGATCTCTGCTGTAGCTCCCACCCAAAAGCTACGCCTCCACCATTCTTTCCCATCTTAATAAATAACACCTCCAGTCCCTGGATTGCTGCACTGAAAATCTGGGTGTCACTCTGGATCCTTCCCCAGACATCTAGTCCATCCTCAAATCCTGCTGATCCCATCTCAGGATAGCTCTCATCCAGCCACCACGTCCACCCCTTCCATCTTAGCACATGTCCCCATCACCTATCGTTTGCTCCAACGGAGGATTTCTGACCAAACCTGCCACCTCCGTTCTTGCCCTCCCTCTAGTGTATCCCCCATACGATAGCCAGAGTGATACTTTAAAAACATAAATGCTGTCGCTTTCCTGCTTAAACCCTTTAATGACTTTCCATTGCAATCAAGATAAAACTTGAAAATCTCTTCCCACTCTTTGGATTTCTGTTCTTAAGCCCCATCAGCCTTTTTCCATTTCTTCAAAGGAACCAGCTCCAGCCCAGTTCAGAACTTTTCCATGTGCTGCTCTCTGTCTGAAGGGCTCTTCTCGCCCACCCTTGTCTAGCAAATGCCTACTCCCCGTTCAGGTCTCAAGTGTT